CCCCCCCCCAGCCGCCTGTGATTGACACTAGTGCTCTGAGAGCAGTTTCATCTGGGTGTTGCAGTTGTTGTGTTCAGGGGAGGTTGGTCAGTAAGGAGAGCAGGAGCTGTGTCACTGATGCAGCTTGTCAGTGATTCACAGAGATCTCTTGAAGTGCCCTATTTTTGGAAACACCATTTCCAGATAAATGCTTTTCCAATTCCAAAGGCATTTTGACATGCTGGGAAATAAACCTCTACCTAGCTGTGGGTTTAAGTCACATCCCTAACATTCTAGAAAGTGCTAGTCATTTGATTTTATAATCCTTTCTATGAATTATAATGATGGTAAGGACCAAATAGGCTTAGTCCTGTGCTGCCACTCTATCCAGACACATAACGAAGGCAGAAAAGGCACATTTAGAAACTGAGAGCCCCTTGATGTGTCTGGCAAGCTTAGCTCCGAAATCCTCAAAAGAGATCTGTCTTCCTTTTCCCTCTAAATTTAGATGAAGAATTTTTACATTCTTGGAATAGAGAAGGAGAAAGGTGGAAACTGATAACATGGTGTTGAAAGGAAATTGTAATGTTTTCAGCTGCAGAACAATTTTCTGTGTGGCTTCTCTCTGAACGTGCGTAAGCGTTAGCTGGTCCACCTGCTAGCAGCCTGGTTTGCGTGTGCGAGTTAGGTTAAGAACTTTAAACTCATGTCACCTTTTCTTTTTAGGCATTCAAGCCAATGTTTTAGGGGCCTCTCTGTCTTCTACAGGACCAGGTAGAACTGCTTTGCCTAGGGCTTTTGTAAGCAGGACTTTGGGGACAAACGGGCTTGGGTGTGGGTTTATTTTTTCCTGCCTAGCACATGTAAAAATGTTATTTCTCTTTCACTGAAAGAGAAAACGAGTTTGACAATTCCAGCTCTTTGTAGCTTGTTGGCATTTCTGAAAAGATACCAGGCAATGGGACTTACAGATAATTATTGCCACAAATAATTTAATCTGGATTTAATAAGGAAGTCACTCTTTTTGACTCACCATTTTTAAATGTCAGTAGTGGTCGTCTGTAATGGCTCACCCCAGCAGTCCAGAGTGCTTGTTATTAAGGACTTCTGCATTTTAGATTAGTGTTTCCCACTGAGAAATTTTAATTCCTGTTGCCAAAGAATTCACATATGCATGTATGATTAGCAAATCTAAAGGATTAAAATAACAGTGTAGCAGGGTTAATACACTTCCAGGCTATTGTTGTTACCTCAGGTACCACAGCACACACACTAAAAAAAAGGGGCTCCCACAGCTGTTGCTCATAGTTAAGAAATCTGACTGTGCTAACGTTGCTGAACACGGGATGCAAAGCTTTTAACATCATTAAACACCAGCTTTTTGCTTCATCACTCAAGCACAGTTCCTCTGTTTGCATCTTCATCTGCAGAAGTGGTTACACCGTGGGGATTTTGTGAGATCTAAATAAGCACTCTGTAATTATGCACCCAATTTGAATAGCTATGGGTTTGAATTGAAACCACTAACTGTAAAAGGCCAAACCTCAACTCGTTGAGCAGATGAAACAGATTTATTTGTTCAAAAATTTGCAGCCAACATTGGACATTTCTCCATCAATCTGTGCTCTCCTGGTCTGGATTATAATTTTGCTTTAAAACAGTCATTTTGCACAGACATAGGCAAAAGTTTAAGTTCTCTTTGACCTTTCCTTGCAAATGAGTGTAACTGGCCTAGCTACCCACCTCATGAAGGTCTGGAGCTCAGCTCTGTGCTTGAAATTGCTTGTAAATGCCACTCTGACATGTGCTGTGAATGTATAAAGCCTGTTGGAATATGTTGCAAGAAATATCCTTTTAAGAATCTAATGAAGTTTAAAAGATGGGGAGTATTTACCATAAGCCTGTCATTGTAGTGAAGAAAAACCTCTTTACAAAATGGTTTAGTTGTTAGGATTTTTTTTTTCCTTTAAGTTGGAGGAAAAAAGAAAACTAAAGCTCCTTCTTACAGTAATCTGTTTTTCTCCCTTTTATTTTGTTTTATTTTCTTATCTACGGAAGTCGTGTAAGCAAATTTCTTTGCCAGTGCTAAGGATTTGTGTGATATTTTTACAAGGTGCGGGTTGTAGAATGTTACACATTCATTTTTAAACAGTTTTGCTCTCTGATATGAATGAAGCACAGGGCAGTCAAATGTCACTGGAAGCTTAGCAGCTCACTTTTCCTGCTTCTCTCCATTTTCTTATTATTAGCTGTGTTTGCAAAAGAGGAGCCTCTTATGTTCCTGGATTTGTTAGTGTTTTCAGAGCAGGCAGTGTCTCTGCTTTTGACAATGTTTTTGACATCTCCTCAAAATGAGAAAAGCCCCATTTTCCCAGAACAGAGACATTTTTGGACATTTCTAAAATACCTTCAACAGTTAATTTGCCCAGCCCTTCACTGACTGTCAATCCTCAATGCAGTTTGGGTGTGTGTCAAAGTCTAGTGGAGGCTGCTGTCCTCATGGCTCTGCCTGGGGCCAGGGCAGAACTTCTCCTGCTCTCAGGTTGTGCAGTCAGGTCACATTCTCCACTGCAGCACTCAAAGAAGATCCCCAGTACAGGTGTCTCTGTAGGATGGATGCAGACATCCCATTTACCTCCTAGTGAGAGGTTCTGGTCACTGCCCCCATCCTGTGCCCTCTCTTCTTCCTGGAGTGTCTGACACCTACTCCAGGGGCTTCACCTATGCCATCCTCTTCAAGGATGGTGTAGCACTCCTACTGCTGGGGTGATGCAGGTTTGTGCAAGTTAAGTTACTGGGAGGGACAGCTAAGCTCAAAGACTGGTATCATGATATTTATGGTGCTCCACAACAGTTAGATTAAAAAGTTGTGGGGTTTCCTTTTGTGTGGTTTGCCATGTGCTCTGCATGTCTGACCAAGTGCGATAATCGTGGTTTTCAAAATATTTTGTCATTGCTGTGTTTTTAATGAGGGAAAACTGACCTTGATTTCTCCCCTCTTCAAAACACCCCAAAGGAAGCTAGCCAAGAAGCAGAAGGAGACTCAGACCAGCACGCAGAGGGAGATGGGTCCTGTGGCTACTTCTGACAAGACTTCTACCAAACTCAGTGCTGTTCACAATGAAGAAGCTTTTTCTTCCAGCTGCCAAGATGTTAATGGATTCAGTAAGTTTAACTTGCTTGCAATGGATATGTCCCCCTTGGAGAGCTCTAGGTTCTTAAAAGGACCTATTCCTATGGGCACAATACTGAGGAGCTAGGAATGACAGTGATAGAGATCATTGCAAAAGCTTGATAGAAACCAGTTATCTGAAATGTCTCTGACACTGCCCCTATTATAACTGTCAGAGAGGTGCAGAGCATTCCTTCTGACTCTAGATCTACTGAGAATAATTTATAAAGTCTGTTCTAATAACTACATCAGACAGTCAAAAAGGCACATTTATTTATTCTTCAGAAATAATTTTTTCCTTTGTGAGTAGAAGACTCGAATCAAATCATGTAGCTGACTTGTAGGATGAAATAACATTTTCTGTATGAAATTGTTATAAAAGAAAGCATGGTCTCCTGGTTAGAGAACTGGAATGGAAAGACAGCATTTATTCTTTTGTCTGTGTCCTCTGTTTCTTCTTCACATGGGTTCATTAAAGCTAACCTTAGTTAATACTTGCAAGCCACTCAGACCTCTGTAGCTGGAAGAGTTTTGTGGGTAAAGCAGCACAAAGTCGTATTTTAGCCTCGCTAGATCCAGATGGAGTGCATGGTGGATTGCATGGTGGATTTGTAAACTTTTTTGTGTTCAATAAATTATAACTTAGACACTCTGGGAATGTCACTCCTTCTTTTGACACTTAGCCTGCTAGTTTGAACAAGGAAGAGCTCTGAAACACAAGTATGTACTAAAACTCTTTTGCCTTTCTTAAACATCTTTAGTGAAGTGGTTTTTTCTCCCCTAATTGCTGACATGGGAGTGCTTATGGTACAAAATGTGTTTTATCATTGAAACCCTTCTTTGTCGTCTCAGATTGAGTGGGACAGGCTGAGTGAATTCTTCTTTTCCCTCTATCTGTAGGTCATGTCAAATTCCATCTGCATGTGTTACTACTGCCACTCTGTGTAACATACCTGTGAGACGGATAAATAGGTGTTTGGGACTGTCAAGGCTAGCCGTGAACACTTCTCTCTGATATTAAATTGACTTGAGTCAAGATCTAATTTTCTCAGGTGCTGAGTAGCTATATCTCCTAAAGAGACAGCAGGAGTTGTCAGTGGTTCATATCTTTGAAAGATGGGATAGCAGAGGACAGCATTGTAACAGACATCCTAGGAACAGCAAAGGCAGCTTGGTTAAATTGTATGGGGAAAATGGAATTTTTAACACTTTCTTCAGAACTGGGATTTTTAAAAGTTTGGGTTTGTTTTGGTTTTTTTTCCAACCAGAAATAAGAGATGAGCCTGTAATGTGACCTCATTTTTTTTTTCCCCTTAGTATTTTGAGACTAATTAAAACAGCTGAGTCATTTACTTGAAATGGCAACTATAGAAAATGTTTTATCTAATTTTGTAAAAAAAGCATCCCTCCAGGTTTTCTTTCTTTTTTTTTTTTTTAATGAGTTAGTCCTTTGCTTGTCTGACATCACTGCAGATTTGATCACTGCCTCCATCTATAACACAGCCTGAGTCGAGTCATGGGCCAACTCTTTTTTTCCCTTTTTATATACATGAGAAACAATTACCAGTAAGCCTTCATGATTTCTCCATATTTTTTACTGCCAGGTCCAGGTCGCTGAGGTGTCTGAGGTAAGTTTTCTTCTGTGCAGTAGCGTGCACATGCTGATACAGGAATTTTATGGGTAAAAGACTTTATTTAAAAAAGAAAAAAATTGCCTTAATAGAGTTTAATACTTGAGGGTTTTTATACGGGCCTACTGTAACTTTTGAATAACCTTCCTGCTAATTAATAGAGTTTTACTGGGGATTATCCCTCTGAGCTTTTGAAATCAGCTGTCTATCTTAACCAGTAGTCAAGTTCCTTCTTAAGTTGTCCTTTTGCCTCCCAACAGAATGCTAGGTAGTCATCCTCTCCATCTTAACCCTCAGGTATGGGAGCCCAAGTTGGTTGTAGCAGTGACATGGAAATACCCTTCTCCTTTTTGAAGAAAGTCCATACAGTCATAGAATCATGGAATGGTTAGGATTGGAAGGGACCTTAAGGATAATCCAGTTCCAAACCCCCTGCCATCATCAGGGACACCTTCCACTAGACCAGGTTGCTCAAAGCCTCATCCAACCTGGCCTTAAACACTTCCAGGGAGGGGGCATCCACAACTTCCTTGGGCAACCTGTTCCAGTGTCTGACCACCCGCACAGTGAAGAACTTCTTCCTAATATCTCATCTAAACCTCCCCTCTTTCAGTTTAAACCCATTTCCCCTTGTCTTGTCATTAACTGCCCTTATGAAAAGTCCTTCCCCAGCTTTCTTGTAGCACCCCCCCATGAAGAGAAGCTGTGTGTTTCAATCCCAAGATCACCTTGCTAGCTCACAAAAGCAATAAAATAGAACAAGACAACTTGCTAAGTAGGAAGCCTCACAATTATTGAATGACTTGCAAATAAGTTTATCTCCAGTTGACAGTGTCCTTGCAGAGTGTGTGTCCTTCCCTGCAGTTTTTCCTTCGTGTCCCAGTCATTTAAATGACTTTGCAGACAGAACAAATTCTTTGAGTCCCTATAGAAGCTTTTTTGGAACAGGCTGCCCAGGGAAGTGATGGAGTCACCGTCCCAGGAAGTATTTAAAAGACATGTAGATGTGGTGCTTGGGGACATGATTTAGTGGTGGACTTGGCCGTGTGAGGTTTATGGTTGGACTCAATGATCTTAAAGGTCTTTTCCAACCCAAACGATTCCCTGATTCTGTGATAGTCTCTCCAGCTTGGCCACTGATCTGCTCCTACTGCAGGAGGACTTTTGCTGTTCTCAGGTGACCCTGTCTGCCCTCCTGCTATATTCTCCCTGTTTGCTGCCTGTCTCGCTGCCTTACAGCACTGCCACTGCCACCTGACAGGTCCAGCAGCTGTAAAAGGTGCTGCTTGACACTGTGCTTCATGAAGGACATAAAAATGAGCAGCTGCCTCTCTGCTTATCAGCCCCTCATTTTCTGAGGAGTTGTAGACCTGGCTGTTCTTACAGGCAACACTGATAAAAGTATGCAGTGTAGTAACAGTGATTCTTTCACCACTGAGTTACCATCCTCCTGTCTCTGCTGTTGGTAAAAATGCAGGTTACTTCACCTACTCTATCTCAATGTTTTTATTCTCAATATACACTCATGCAAATGGCATCATCCATAAAGTGATGCTGTTTGGGTGCAGTGGAGTCCTTTGCCAAGACCAGTGCCGTGCTCAGGAGCACACAGTCCTGTTGGACATTTGTAGTTTTGGATTTTGTCATTTGGCAGAGGTGTTTATTATCCAACGTAATTACATTCTGGAAGATCTGTAGCCTCTGTGCTGGAACAGGGAGACCTCAAGTCTTGCTGAAAGTGGAAGAGAAATGGACATTTATCTTTCCTGGCTCAAAGCAAAACTCCTCATCCCTCTTTCCATTCTGTGCTGTTAGTCATTATTCAGACAGAACTCTTACTGGTACATACAGGAGTTTAAAGTGAAGAGATTTTATGGACATCATATGGAATAAGAATAGGTGTTTGCTGAAAAATGGATGAGTCCATGGCTATTCCAGCTTGTCTGGCTTTACCCAGGGATTATGTGGAGATGAAGCAGGCTCATCATATTTGTTCATTTTCTCAAGTGTTTTGCTTTTTAAAAAATAAAAATATAGCCTAAATTCATTAAATGTAGATGATGGTTCTTGCAGTGTTGGAGCCTACTCCTCATTTGGAAAGCAGCAGCATTTTCCTCTGAGTGGCACAGCTCGGTCACGTGTAGTCATTGATTCAGTGCAGGGTTATTGTGAAACAGGATAACAAACTGGAGACAAGATCCACCAGGATCTGTGCACTGACCAGGAAGGTGTGCAAGGGGTTGTCATTGCACATAAACTGTGTGCAATTTGTCAACCCATCCCTGGGGAGAGGCAGTCGTGTATCATCTTGGCAATGACGTACTAACGATATGTCCTGCACGAAGGAACTGCTCGTCTGCCTTTGCAGTGCTAAAATGCCATGGACCACCAGGCTTGTCCAGGAGAATGCCATGTCACCAGCATAGCCATCTTGACATCCTGGGGGGGGAGGTTTCTGGCAGGAACTGTTTGATTCTAAGGATTTAATCTCTTAAAATGCAGCCAGTTTTGCTAGAGACTGACTTATTAGGGTGTGCTTAATTTCTGTGACATCTCAGTTTGGGAGAAGACTGCTTTCCAGACAATCTTCAGGAGCGAGACTGTTACAGGTTAGGTAGGTAGCTTTGATGTTACAGGCAGAAGCACAGGTTGAAGACAGCCTTTGGGAAGCTGCAGGGAACTGAGTTTTGCATTAGTGGTCACTGCGCTACAGTTACCAAGTTAGTGTGTTTTTACTAGTGAGAACAAGGAGATAAGAGGAAAATATAGGTAAGTGGCACTCAGAGTGTTAAGGATCACTTTTAACCAAGAAACATCTAAATTCACACCTTTCCATATCCTGCATGTTTTTATGATGAATGAAATGCAGATGTCTTTGTATTTGCTGTAAGTCACAACAGACAATTACATCAAGATCTAGTTCTTATTCCTACCCTATAGGTAATTTTCATTCTTAATTAGGTTACCTGCTAAATGCAGTCCAAGGAGTTGTAGGATTGTGACCATGAGAAGTTTTCATTAGTGAAAAATTCTAAAATGAATTTAAAAATAAAAAATAACCCCAAATTTCATCAAAGGCATAAAAGGAAAAAATAGTAAAATCCCTTTTACTGGTTTTCATGCTAGTTTGGGATTTTTGTGGGGTTTACTAGTTCAGAAAAATCTTATAAAAAGTAAGAGAATCATTTTGAGAATAGGAAGGAAGTCTCTACCATTCTGCTTGGGTAGAGGGATTTGTGTGGCCTCACAAACCACTCCAGGGAGTACAAAGAAAATTTTAAATGAAGTCTTAATCTCTACCCTGATGTGAAATCCTTTCTGGAAGTGTTTCCTGCTGGTGTTTCCACACTAGTGTCTGTAAGAACCTCTGTTTAGGAAGCAGCATTGTGTTCGCATATCTCATTGTACAAGCCACTACCTGATTGATTTTGGGAATGAGGTCTCCAAAGTTTTGGGAAACTTGCGTTTTGGTGAGGTTTTTTTTTTTTTTTCCCATTTTTCTTCTGAATCTAGAAATCACCTCCTTGTCTCACAAATATGGTTTATTTTGTAAACCTCAGCTGGTAACATTTCTAATGAAACTCACTGAAGCGAGGTGTAAATTTTAATCTGCCTAATTAATTTATCGTTAGCGATTTCTGGAAAGGCTATATGGCCCCATGAGTTCTTTTATACTCCCAAATTTCAGAAAATCTGAGTCCTGCTCCAAGCTCTGACTGCTGACTTTCTCTATGACCCTGGGCAAACAAATGGTTTTTTTTAGACCTTATTTTATATATTTTCAAAAGTGGCCATGTTCTGAGTGCAGTAAGAGGAAGGTCTGATTTAGGCTGACAAACACAGGGGAGAAAGTGTGAGAGTCCCCCCAAGGAGAGATGCTTTATGGCTTGAAGGCAGCCGGGGCAGAACGCCAGCAGACTAAGCTATAAGAAATTTGATTATTTTAATGTATTTTCAAGCAGTGTAAGTGTAAAAATATGTCGGGAGAATGCAGAACAAGAGTGAGTTCATTTACTAGAT